CATACCTAGATGTGCCCCCAGAGAGCTGGCTCATGCATGGCCCTGGAGACTTGGGTGTACACTTAGAGGAACTTCCTCTCCTGTGCCTCGGGAGACCAAGGCATACACCCACCTGAGCTCCAGGAGACCTAAGTGTCACCTGGGGGAGCTTGCACACCTGTCCTCCAGTAGCCCAGGTGTTCTCCTAGAAAAACGTGCACACCTCAGCCCCAGCAGACTTACTCATTGTAGCATTGTAGTAGGGAAATTGGAAACCACCTCAATGTCCGTCAGCATGGTAACGGCTGTGTGTGTATGTATACCCCTGCAAAGCCACCACACAGCAACGGAATGGGCTAGCGATCTGGCATAGTATGAGCTCCCCCAAAAGCAGATCCCGAGACTGCTTCAGGGGTAAGTAGTGTATTGGGAGGTCACCCCAGGAAGAGCCAATGGGAGAGTGCAGGAGTGAGGCAGGGAAGGAGACCAAGAAAGCTTTGTCATCAGGCAGGTTGCCTACCTGATGATCCCACTGAGCTTCATCCCAGGAGGGCACTCTGGGAGACACGTAGAACACGTGCCTTCGTTTCCTCGTCGGTCTTTGCATGCCAGCTCCTGTCAGTCGCTGCGTAAGGACTGCTCCCAGGGGCCCTTATGCCTTCAGTACCTCCAGTCTGCCCTGCTTGTGAGAGAGGGCCCTCAGGCTGGAGGTTGAGAACCAGAGGGTGGGTCAGAGCCCCAATGGGCAGGGCCCAGCCAGCAGGTGCTGCCAGGTATATGTGTGAACGTGGAAAACAGCGTTGAGGAAGATAAGCAAGCGGCTGGAAGCATCCCCCTCATAGAAACGCTGTCAGCGTGCCACGCAGTATTTTCTGTTACTTACAGATACCACATGCATGGTAAACAGGCCAAGACATGCGTGAGGATGAGGAGCACCCATGTCCAGGGTAGTGGGTGCCCTGCAGGGAGGGAAGGTCCCGTATGGACGGCTTACCTCTCTCTGTAATGATTCATTGCTTCCATTTTCTACAGTGAGGTTTGATGTTCACCCAGTAACTTGGACAAAGTGAGCTTGTCAGATGAGGCTTTGCATATTATTCACCTGTATAACCACTACTGGGATCAAGATACAGCACACACCAGTGCCCCTAGGGCTCCCTCCTGCACCTCCCTCAGGCTTGATGAATTTCTTTTTGAAAGTGTTTTAAAGCAAATTTGGCATTATGCTGTGATTGACCAAAGCTGGCTATTGATGAATTGGTGGGTGTTTGTCTTATTTTTTTCTCTCTCCTTTGTGTGTCCTTGAAGCACTTCATCATCATCATCAGAATCACAAGCAGAGGAGGCCTTGGGGAGATGCTGGGGGGAGGTCGGTGGTCCAGGCAGGGGTGCTGCATGGACAGACACCCAGAGAGATCCAGGGACTGGGAAGCCTGAGAATGGGCCCTTTCCTAAAAGAACATGGCAAGAGGAAAGTTGTTTTTGGCTGAGTGTCCAAAGCTGTCAAGCCTGGACTCGCCCTGGAGGGTCCTGTTAACAGCTGTGCAGAAGGCATCAGTGCCTCCTTGAAGAGCCAGGCATGCCTGGGGCAGCACGAAGGCCAGGCCCAGAGCCCCTGCCTGCCCATTCTTTCCGGGTCACGAGCTGCCTGTTGTCCCCATCACGCTGGCCTGTCTGCAGCTCCTCTATGGGTGGCCCAAGCCTCCCATTGTCCCTGCACAATAGTGGTGGCTGCATTCGTGTGAAGAAACGGGGACAGGAAGCCCCGATCTAGGCCAGCCACTCTACGCTCCTAGCTTCCTGCCCTCCCTGACTGTGCTGGGTGAGGTGGCCTTTGTCTTCCCCCAGTCTAAGGGACTGGAGGCTTGAATCGCTGGGCCTGTGAAAACATTCTCTAGGAACTCCTGCTCCCTTTGAAAAGCAAGACCAGAGTCTCCTGCCATGTGTCACATACTGTGCCAGGCCCATCCCATCTGTTCATTTGATTTTGAGTGACTGCTATGTGCCAGGTCCTTGGGATACAGCTGTGAACAGGAGAAGCAAGGGCCCTTTATGGAGTTTTCATTTACTTTATCCTATTACATTTTAAAAGGTAGGCACAGTTTTACTGTGATCCCCATATTTGGGAAAAGTAAATCAAGATTCAGAGAGGTTAATGCATTTTCCTGAGGCTACACAGCACAAAAGAGGAGGCTCTGTGGTTTAAACCCATCAGTTTCTGAAACTGGCCTTTATTGTTGGAATAAGGATTAAGGTTTCATCCCAGCCTTGCTCTCTTCTTATCTTGGCCTTTTCCTCAGGGACTTGCATGTTGTGTTGTTGTTGTTATTTGCCGTCAAGTCGCCCCCGACTCATAGCGACCCCTCCTTGGGTTTCCGAGGCAGTATCACTACGGAAGTAGGATTGCCCAACCTTCCTTCCGAGGAGTGGCATAGCTCACTTAATCTGAATTTCTTCATTTGTCAAATGGGCTCAGCATGCAAGATGGGAAGATGGGAAGAGCATGAAGACAAGGAGGGTCTCAGGGAGGAGGTGACGTTTGAGCTTAGTGCTGATGGATGAGAAGAAGCTGGTCTTTAGTGGAGCTGAGGGGGAGAACATCTTGTTAGTGGGAACAGCATGTGCATAGGTCCTGAGGCAGGAGTATATGTGGAAGGTGGGAGGGACAGCGAGAATGAGCGTGTGGCTGGAGATTATGGGGAGATGACGTGCTGGGAAGTGAGGGCAGAGAGGTCAATAGAGGTAAGGCTATAGGAGCCTTGTGGCCCTGGAGGATTTGGAGTTGTTTGTTCAAGTGTAATGGGAAGCCATGGATGAGTCCTAAGCTGTGGAATCTCATGATATGATTATATGATGAAAAGGATTCCTCAGGCTGTGTGCAGAGAATGGACTTTTGATGGGGAACCAGGGAGGGGCAGTGCATTAGTTTAGGTGGGAGAAGATGGTGGCTTGGGCGGGGGGTGGCCATGGAGGGAACGAGAGGTGGTCAGATTTTTAATACCTGTTAAAGGGAAGGGTGACACAGTTTGCTGACAGATTGCATGTGGAGCGTCAGAGAAAGAGACACATCCAGGGCAGCTGTGGGGTTTTGGCGGGAGCCCCTGAGGGTGAGGTATCACTCGTTATTCATTAATGCGGGTGGCATTAATCAGGCAGGAAGAGTGTGGTGATGGAGATTTGGAGGGAAGGTGAGGAATGAGGTTTTGGATGGGTGCGTTTGAGATGCTCCTGGGTCATCCAGGTGACCATGTCAAGTCAGCAGCTGGAGGCATGAGTCAGGGTTTCAGGGGTGAAGTCTAGGCTGCAGGTGGGTATAAGCTTGGGGATTGTCAACATACAGGTGGACTTTTAAGCCCCGAGACTGGCCGAGGTCACCCGCAGAGGGTGTGGACGCCTTCCTGGCTTCCCTGGCTTCCTCCTCTGTGACTTGCTGTAAGGGACCCGAGTCTGGGTAGCTCCCGGTGACAGCCACGGATGAGCTGTGGACATCCCTCCGGGTGATGAGAAGGATCCGACAGCTGTCTGTGGAGGGCCTGCCTCTCCTTGCTCCCCTCCACCCTCGGTACCAGGTCCCCCTCTGTCTCCTGGCACTCGGCAATCTCCCTAGACAAGCGTGGTTGATGAGATGGGCTCTTCATTAAGCTGCAACCTAACTCCTAGACGGGAAGCGCTGCGGGCTCACCAGGGCGGCCCTGTCGGCACCCCCATGCTATAATTAGCTGTAGCAGCAGGGTGACTGACAAGCCACCGCAGCCCAGGGGGTCCCTGAAGCTGTGATAGGACTGTTCATCCATTTCCCAGGTGTCTCCAGATGATTTTTGGCACATTAACCGGGGGCCAGACCCTGAGTCTTGAGACAAACAGTCCGTGCTGGTCTCCCTCTCCCAGGTGGCATTGATGACCCCTACCCCTTCCCCGCTACGTTCAGTGTCCCCAAGCCCCTCCACCCCCAGTCCCCTCAGTAACTTCTTTCTGCCTGCTCTGTGCCACCACACCAAAGGCCTGGCCACCCTGGTCATGCTCATGCCTCCACAGCCCTCACCCCTCACAACACCCGAGGGTTCTTTAACCAACAAACCCCGGGAGGCTTTGCTTTAAGAAAATCCTAATTCCTGGCTTCTCTTGTAAAAAACAACAACACAGAAGAACAACAAACCCCCAGAACATCTGGCAGTGCCAGGCCCACCCGCCTTTCCACCTGCCCACTCATGGGGGGGACGAGTGCTGCGTCCTTTTCGATGGGTGCGTGCTCCCCTTACCCTCTGTCCCCACAACTCCCATTTATTGTCACACTCATTCATCACACTCTCAGAGGACAGAGATGATGTCTCTGTCCCAAGCCCCTGAAAAAAGCATAGAGTGACCATAGGATCCTGTGCCATCGACAAAAAAAGAGAGGACGCTCTCACACACAACGACCTCTAAACAGTGCTCAGTGGGAGACGCAGGTGTTGTTTTCTTGGGTGCCGTCAAGTTGATCCCGGCTCCTAGCCACCGTGTGTGACAGAGTAGAACTGCCCCGTAGGGTTTTCTAGGCTGTAATCTCATGGGACCAGATCACCAGGTCTTTCTCCCATAGGGCTACTGGTGGGTTTGAACCATAGACCTTCCGGTTAGCAGCCAAGCGCTCAACCGTTGCACCACTCGAGCTCCTTTTAGCCATGTGTGAATGTGTTATTATTCAGAAGTTAAATTTTAACAAAATGAGGGAAATGATTGTAGTCTGAGCAGGGCCCGATGAAGAAGCAGGTATGAGTGCGTTCCCTCAGCCGCAGCTCCTAGAGGGCCGAGGCTTTGTGCTGTTCACTGTGGTGTCTTTGGGGCCAGCACAGGGCCTGGCACGTAGTAGGGGCTCAGTAAACATGTGCGCTGAATGAGAGGGAGGGCCGTCCCAGCGTGTTGAAGGTGTAAGCAGAGGGAGCCTTCCCTGTTCCCTGCCATGCCCCTCAATAGTGCTGCCTCCCGCGGGCCTGGGAGAATGCAGGCGTGGACGCTCACCTGGCCCTGTTTCTCTCCTCCAGGCCTTCCTGCATCGCATCCGGCAGAATGTGGCAGACACGGCCGAGAGGGGCATCACGGAGGAGAACGTCAAGGTGAGGACACGGGACGGCCCCTCTGGACTGTCCCTGCCCTTTGTGCTCCTCCCTCCTCAGAGGCTTGGAGGGGGCGGCTCGTCATGTGGCTGTCAGCTGGCCTGCTCCCTGCAGCCCCGAGAGACCTCCCTGTTACGTGGGCAAGATGTGCTTGTGGGTGTCAGCAGGACACTCCCTAACTCAAGTCTCTCTCTCTCCTTGCTTACCATGACCACCCTTTCTTCCCACCTCCTCACACCAGGCCCTGGCTGGGAGCCGGAGGAAAACCCCTTCCCAAGCAGCCCCTGGGAGCCTGGCACCTCCAGCCGTCCTCTTGGCAACCCTGGCCCTTGCCCTGCGTGGGGCACTGAGTGTCAGCTGGGCTGATGAGTAATGGGTCTGGACTGTCATCTGGCGTGGCTCTGGGGAGTTTTGGGAGGACATCAATAGGCCTTCTGTGTGTGTGGCTGAGGCCCTGCACTCCCGGCTTTCCAGCGTGACCTCACTCCCTGGGAAGAAGCCGCCTTCAGTCCTGGGGGTCTGCGGGTCCTGGTCAGAGGGGAGCTGGAGAGCTGGGGCAAGGTGCATGTCAGAGGTGGCACTGACTGGCTGGCACCCAGAATTCACAGCACACGGAAGACTTGATAGAGCTGGGGAAGACATCCCCTGCCTCCCCAAATGTCCTGGTTAATCTGGACAGTAACCTTGCACATTGATCATTTTAAGCCCAGTGTTTTGAATAAGGAAGCTGAGACTTAGAGATTTAAAGAGATCTACTTGAGGTTACTACAGTCCTGTTCCCAGGGGTGCTGGGATTTATGTCTTTATGTATTTGTTTATTCATACACTCATTCAGGAAATATTTACTGAGCACCTATTATTTATTTATTTATTACAATTAAAAAATTATTACAATTTTTCATTACAATGTATTATAACTTTTAAGAAGTACTTTGATGAATTGAGAGAGAACTTACACTAATGGGCGTGGATCCCAAGTGCCTAGCGTGATGATTTTTCACACATGAATATACCTGTGTAACCACAACCCAAATGAGGACAGAAAATATTCCCCATCCCCAGCTGTCCCCTGTGGCCCTGTTAGCCAGTACCGCCTCCCCAAAGGTGGCCAGTGACGTCTGGTACCACTGCTTAGTTCTGCCTCTTCCTAAGCCTTCTATCAATGTGTGCTCATCTGTGTCTGATATCTTCTGCTCAGCATCATGTCTCTGAGATTTGTCATGCTGTTGTATATAGCTATGGCTCTTCCTTTTTCATTGCTGTGTAGTATTTCATAACATGAGCAGATCACTGCTTACACATCTATTCTCCTATCAGTGGATAATTGGGATCTTTCCTGTTTTTGGAAATTTTGGACCATTTTTGTATGTGTCTTTTGATGGATACAGACAATGTCTTTTGGGTATGCACCCAGGAGACAAACATTAGTTTGTGAACTTCACAGTTAGTCACTTTTAAGTGTGTACAACAGTAGGGTCTATTATGTGTACCTGTAACATAAGCAGACTCGGCCATGTGAGCTGATAAAATGAGAGAGAAGTAACTATTCTGGTTACCTCATGCCGCTCTGACAGAAATATACTACAGATGGGAAAGCCTGAACAAACAGGAGTTTATTTTCTTATAGTTTTGGAGGCTGGAAGTCAAAGTTCAAAGTGCCAGGCTCTAGGGACTGGATGAAAGCCCCTCGATCTTGGGCTTCAGTTCTGTCTCTTGCTCCCGGCCCACTGCAGCCCCACTGAAGCTGGAGGCATCTCTTCACTCAGGCAGCTGCTGGCTGCTGAGGCTGACAAGCCAAAGGTCGTCAAGTGAAAAGGCACAGTCCTGATATTACCAAACCACACGACAGGCCATTAATTCAAGTCCATTAAAAGTCGCAAGATGGCAGAGCATGGCAGGCTGCTAAATGAAGACCCTGCTACATGAAGGGTCCAATCATGCCAAAAAAGCTGGCTTTGAGCCACAAAGCTCAAAGCTGCTGCTTATATACTGGAAGCAGCCACATCGCTAAAGCTGCTCCAGTAGATTCCACCATGCGGTTAATCGTGAATCTCACCGTTGGGAATAACTGCACCCAGCTGCCCAGCCACTCAGCCAGGCCCAGCCAAGCTGACACACAACCTTAACTCCCACAGTAACCAAACAGTGGGGGCGATTTTTTTCTAGCCGCTTCATGTAGTGAGAGGAGGAGAGGAGATAGGGTCTCTGGCCCCCTCCGACTGGGCAGCATTTGAGGAGTGGTCTCTTGCCACTGTCAGCTCCCTGGCCTCCCTCAGGCCATCTTTCACTCTGCAGACTTTTCTGGTGCATTCCAAGGGCCCACAAGTTTGGTCTTCATTTCTTCAGGACTTGGTTCAAATGTCACCTTCTCAGAGTGGCCACTGTATGGACATTTGCAAACTTACTCCTGCTGTCCTTCCCTGGGACTCCTTGCTGCTTTATTTGTGTCTTTAGTGCTTATTATTGTTGTCATTAGGTGCCGTGGAGTCAATTTCAAGTCATAGTGACCCCATGGGACAGAGTAGAACTGCCCTGGAGGGTTTGCTAGGCTGTCTTCTTTTTGGGAGCAGATCACTCAGTCTTTCTCCCATGGATCTGCTGAGTGGATTTGAACCACCGACTTTTTGGTTAGCAGGGGAGCACTTAACCATTGCTCCCCCAGGACTCCTATTAGTGCTTATTGTCACCCTGAAGTCTGTTTTATGGATCCCCTTCCACTATAATGTCACCTCCATGGGGAGAGGGACTTCTCTGCTCCTTGCTGAGTTCCCGGGGCCTTGAACAGTACCTGGCACATGTTGGTGCCCAGTAAATATTTGCTGAATGAGTGAAGGTGTGAGAAACCCTGGGAGGATGTATAAACCACCAGCACTGGTTGCCTGGGACTTTGAGCTGCTGTGGGTGGGGCAGGGGGGATGGGTGGGGCAGGGAGGATGGGTGGGAGGGCATCTCCTCACCATATGCATTTTACTGGGTTTTAACTTTTGAACTACATGAATTAATTACTTCTTTAAAAATTAAGTAGAGAAATAAAAAGTATATACTTAAAAAAATAAAGAAGGAATTGATGCATTTTGAAGTATTTAATATACTGTGGACCGTGAGAAGAATGAACAAATCTGCCTTAGAAGAAGCACTCCTGAATGCTCCAATCTACCTTGTTGAGGGCCTTCCCCCTTTTTGTTGAACCTCCACTTCACCAAGCATGACATCCTTCTCCAGAGAATGGTCCCTTCTGACAACATGACCAAAGTAGGCGAGAGGAAGTCTGGTCATTCTCGCCTCCAGGGAGCATTCCAGCTGCTCCTCTTCCAGGACAGATTAGTTAGTTCTTTTAGCAGACCATGGTACTTTGAGTATTGGTGGCCAACACCACTACTGAAAAGCATCAACTCTTCTTCGGTCTTCCTTATTCATTGCTCAGCTCTCACATGCATGTGAGGCAATTGAAAATACCATGGCTTGGGTTAGGTGCACCTTAGTCTTCAAGGAGACATCTTTGCTCTTTAGCACTTGAAAGAGGTCTTTTGCATTTAGGCCAGATAAGTCCCTGTTGTGGGGGGCTGTCCCCCACATTGTAGGATGCTTAGTAGCGTCTCTGGCCTCTACCCATGAAAGGGTAGTAGGTAGCCAGTAGCAAAACGCCCCCCCACACACACAGTGTGACAACTAAAATTGTCTCCAGACGTTACCAAGTGTCCTCTGAAGGAGGGCGAGGGAGCACTGGGCAAAATTGCCCCTGATTGGGAACCATTGATTTGCAGATTAAAATTTAAAATGTAGATTTGCTGGGTCAAATTATACTGCATTTTAGCCTTATATAGAAACAGGTCGTCTCATCATTTTGTTGCTGTTATTGTTATGTGCCGTCAAGTCAGCCCCGACTCATAGCGACCCCTCCTTGGATTTCCAAGGCAGAATCACTACGGAAGTAGGATTGCCCAACCTTCCTTCCGAGGAGTGGCTGGTGGGTTTGAACCACCAGCCTTCTGGTTAGCAGTCAAGTGCTTTAGCCACTATGCTACCAGAGCTCCTCATTGGGAGAGTATAAACAGCATGTTGAACATCCTTATTTTATTATCTTCTATAAGATCGTTGTAATGGTGCATGGGAGTACATTACCATTTTAATCAGTCCTCTGTGGCAGGGGATACCAGTCGTATCTGGTTCTCATGACTACTGGGATGAATATCCTGATATCTAATTCTCTGCCTACTGAGTGTGAAGTGCAGCCTGCTGGACTAACCTTGGGGATGTTGATTACTTCTCTCAGCCTCAGTTTCTTTATTATAAGCGGGGGTCATAGTAGTTTGTACCACCTGGAGTTACAGTGAGGATAATTGTTATATGCCCTTGAGTGGATTCCAACTCATAATGACCCTATAGGACAGAGCAGAACTGCCCATAACGTTTCCAGGCTGTAATCTTTATGGAAGCAGACGGTCACATCCTTTTCCCACAAAGCGGCTGGTAAGTTTGAACTACTTACCTTCTGGTTAGCAGCCAAGCACTTTAACCACTGTGCCAGCCTCCCTTAAAGTGAGGATTAAACTCGAAAAACCAAACTCACTGCCATCAAGTTGATTCCGACTCATAGTGACCCCTTTTGGGTTTTGAGGCAGTAAATCTTTACGGAAGTAGATTGCCCAGTCTTCCTTCCACAGAGTGGCTGGTGGGTTTGAACTGCCAACCTTCTGGTTAGCAGTCAAATGCCATAGGCACTACGCCACCAGAGCTCCTTAAAAAGTGAGGATTGTTGTTGTTGTTGTTAAGTGCTGTCGAGTCATTTCCGACTCATAGCGACCCCATGCACAGCAGAACGAAACACTGCCCAATCCTGCGCCAGCCCCACAATCCCTGCTATACTTGAGCGCATCATCGCAGCCACCATGTCAATCCATCTCATTGAAGGCCTCCCCCTCTTTCATCGACCCTCCACCATACCAAGCATGACATCCTTCTCCAGGGAATGGTCCCTTCTTACAACATGACCAAAACAGGTGAGACGAAGTGGCCATTCTTGCTTCCAAGGAGCATTCTAGCTGCACTTCCTCCAAGACAGATCTATTAGTTCTTTTAGCAGTCCATGGTACTTTCAGCATTCTCCGCCAGCACCACAACTCAAAAGCATCAACTCTTCTTCGGTCTTCCTTATTCGTTGTCCAACTCTCACACGCATATGAGGCGACTGGAAATATCATGGCTTGTGTCAGGCACACCTTAGTCCTCAAGGAGATATCCTTGCTCCTCAGCACTTGATACAGTTCCTTCGCAGTTGACTTTCCCAATACTACACGTTGTCTAATGTCCTGACTGCCGCTTCCGTTGGCATCGATTGTAGAACCAAGCAATGTGAATTCTTTGACAACCTCAATCTTCTCTCCATTTATTGTGATGCTGCTCATTGGTCCAGTTATGAGGATTTTTGTTTTCTTTATATTGGGACGTAATCCATACTGCAGACTGTATTCTTCAAAAAAAAAAAAAAAAAAAGTGAGGATTAGGGGCTACAAATATATATAATGTTCTTAACATAGGATTAGATATTAATTCTGTTTAGTAAATGCTGGTGTTCTTTTTATTAACATCCTTGTCTTCATTAGCAGTAAATGGTCTCCCGTGTATGAGAGTGCTCACTTCACTACATCTTCACCTGCAGTGGGGGTTATGTATTTTTCATGCTTGGTTGTGCTCTCCCTCTCTGCCTGTGTTAACGCTGTCCTTGGGCCTGCCCTTTCCTCCTAGATCCTGTTCTCTAACATTGAAGACATCCTGGAAGTTCATAAGGATTTCTTGGCCGCCTTGGAGTATTGTTTACATCCGGAGCCTCAGTCTCAGCATGAACTTGGGAATGTTTTTTTAAAATTTGTAAGTACAATGCCCCAGCCCCTATCAGACTCCACAGCCTTTGGGAAGCAGGCTTCTCCCTCGAGTCCCTGCTCTGCCCGCCCTCAGCCAGCTTCCTCTGCAAGCTGGTCGGGGAGATGGAGAGGCTGTGGCAGACAGGCAGGCCCAGCCTTGGCATGCAGGAACAATGGTAGGGGTCAGGCCCAGCCAGCTTGGGTATTTTTAGCGGCTATCCTCCTTCTCACCATCACGTAGAATGCAGCCCCCATTCCCTCAGGGCCCCTTACCACTTCCAGGGACTCCCACGACCTCCTGGCCTGCTCCGAAAGACCAACAAAAGCATCCAGTGCCCAAGAGGATGGACTTAGGATCACGCAGACCTGAGTTTGTGTCGTGGCTTGGCCTCCCACTGGACTGCGAGGGTCTCTGATCCTTGGATGCCTACTTGGGCTGCTGGTCAGAGAGGCTGCCACTTGCTCTGTAATAGCCTCTCTCTTCCTGGGGATTCCTAATGTGCTGAACATTACAGGAAAGGGCTGGAGGAAGGAGGGTGGGGAGCTAGCCCACATGGGTCAGCTGCTTTCCCACGTCTCTTTCTACGCTGCCTGGAACCCTCCTTGTGTGGAGAAAAGCTCACACTAACCTCATAGGCACGAGGCTTGGGGCAAAATGCCTTTGCCTCCCTGAACCTCAGGTTCATGTTCTGTCTGAAAAGTGAGGATCATCACGGCACATTCCTGGGTTGATGGAGAGATTCCAAGAGGTCAAGCTGCAAAGTGCTTACTTAGCATAGAGCAGTGGTTCTCAACCAGGGTTGATTTTGACCTCCCAGGGGACATTACTGGTTGTCACAGCTGGGGATGGGAGTGGTACTGGCATTAGTGGGTGGACTATTGGCAGGGATACTGCCAAACCTCCTACAATGCACAAGACAGCCCTCCACCCCTCCCAAAAAAAGAATTACTTGGTCTAAAATGTCACTAGGGCCAAGGGCTTTCAGTTGACATTACCTCTTATTTCAGCTATCACCATCTTCATGAACTCCCTGCTGAAAGGGAACACATCTTGGCTGGAGTCTAGGGTGAGAGAGATGGGTGTAGTTCTGCCCTCAAGGACTTACAGTCTCTTGGTGGCAGGGCTCCTGGCCAGGCTGCTGAGCTTCTCCTTAGCTATGTTCCTCCTGGCACATTACTTTAACTTGTGTATGTCTCACTGTCCTCGCCTGTAAAATGGGTCTAAAACTAGACCTAACCAATGATATTGTTGGGGGGATTAAGTGAGACGATACAAGGAGAGTGCTCAGAACAGCTCCTGAGATGTTCACAGGAAGTACTCAACACATGTTGGATGCTCTCTTTCCTCATCGCGTAGGCACCATTCCTCAGTGATTGAAAATAGAATAAATAAGGGAACAAGATGGGGTACAGGGGAGGAGGCGTTAATGGAAGGTGTGGAGCAGAGGAGAGATGGGATGTGCTTGGGTTTGAAAGGGTCCCTTAAGCTGCTTCGAGGAGAAGGGATTAGGAAGGGAGACTAGGCAAGAGGTCCAAGATGATGATGTCTTGGAAGAAGGTGGAGGAAGTGGAGGTGGTGAACAATGGTGGTTCAGTTCAATAAATGCTTCTTGAGTAGGAAAAGGAAAAGAACAGAGGGACAGTTTTCTCCTCAGGTTTGGAGGAAAGAGTGAGTGTTTGATTCTCTGGAGCCAGACGGCCTGGGTTCAAATCCCTGTGTGACCTTGGGCAAGCCACTTTGCCTCTAGGGACCTCAGTCTCCTTCTCTGTAAAATGGAGGTAATGAGGATGAATGAGGGCATTTGAGTGAAGCACTTAGAGTTGGCCTGGCCCCGAGCGGATGGTGAGTGAATGTTAGCTGTAGCTGTTTTTCCAGCCAGGGCATCATGGAGGGCGACCAGGAGGAGGTGACTTGGGAGCTGGCATGAAATGATGACACCTGAACTTAGAGTGGGGGGACTTGTTGTTGCAATAAGGGCATGGGTGTGATACCCTCTGACCTCGTCTAACTTCACGATGGGGAGGGAGAATTGGCCATCAGCAGCATCAGCCCACGGCTCATTTCCTAGGAGGCGAAAGTCAGACACGCCGCTGCCCTCTAACTCTTTTGCCATTTCTGACACCAACGTTTCGTGGCACTCTCTGCTTCTCTACTGGGGTCAATAATTCGTTGCAGTGGCCACACAGAACTCAGAGACAATACTCACAGTCATGGGGCTTATTAAGTAAGCAACAGGTAACAGTTTCGGTTCAGGCATGCTCAGGATACAATTCTTTGGTCAGGACAGACTCCCTTCTGCCATGCCTCAGGAACTCCAAAGGTGGTATGGCCCTTCAGGTTGTCCTGAATTGTAGCGAGAGGGCAGGGTCTTTGTGCCCCGCATTGGCAGTCACTGGCCTGGAGCTGTCCTAGGTGAGGTGGTGGGAAGCCTCAGGCAGGTGGCTCTCTCAGGCAGAAGGCAGCTCCTGGGAAGGTGTTGGGCTGAGGGTCCTGCAGACACCCTGCTAGCGTCTGAGATGGTGGGTCCTGGGGTGCTGTATTGCACACTCAACCTCTACTACAACCCCTTAACCCCCAGGAAGGAACTCCTGGGGCAATCTTCTTCCCAAGCTCCATTATGCCTTGCTTGGAAACATGTTTTCCTGCCTGGAGCTCCCAAGGCCCAGGCAGCATCTGGGTGGTAAGGTAATAATTGGGACCAGAGCTCCACAGACAGGCTCTTCAGGAGAGGCAGGGGGAGGCCTCAGATCCTGTTGGGGCCTGGCCTACAGACCAGTGTGTGGTGCCACCCAGGCAGCAGGCAGTGAACACAAGGTGGGCACCTGCTTGCCCCAGAACCTAATCACTAGCTGCTGAGTTTATTTGAGCCTGGAGTGGGTGCTTCCTTTGTGTTGTGGCTGTCCTAAGCGTTTTATACATAGTGACTCATTAAAACTTCACAAGACCCTTAAAGGTGAGTGCTCTTGTTATACCCCGAGTTCCTAGGGCTGCAAATGGTTAGTGTACTCAGCTGCTTACCAAAAGATCGTAGGTTCAAGTCCTCCCTGGAAGAAAGGCCTGGTGATCTATTTCCAAAAGATCAGCCACTGAAAACCTTAGCACAGTTCTACTCTGACACGTGTGGCATCACCATGAGTTGGAATTGACTCAGAGACAACTGGTTTATTATTATACCCCCTTTACAGACGAGGAAAGTGAGGCCCAGAGAGTTTATGCCTTAGCTCAAGCTAGTCAGTGACAGAGCCAGGAGCTGGGTTGATGCAGTCTGGCTCTGTGCTCTGTGCTTTTCGCCATCGAATGTGATAAAGTCTCTTAAAGTGTCTGCTAAGCATCTACCAGCTGTTTGTTTGCACTGAATAGGACAGACTGGCTCCCTGCTGCCACAGGCTCATCCTGTGGTAGGAGGTGGAGTTAATAAGTAAAGAGGTGAGGTCATTGCAGATAGGGCTACAGACTGTGAAGAATATCACATGCAGGTGTACGTAAGAGCAGCTTTGCTTTCAATGGAGCTTGGGGACAGAGTTGCTCTACTTAGCAAATGAAAAACACAGGATGTCCAATTAATACTTGAATTTCTGATAAACAGTGAATAATTTTTTTCATATGTTTCTTGCAGTATATTTGGGATATACCTATACTGAAAAAAAATTATGCATTGTTTATTTTAAGTGCACGTTTAACTGGGCATCCTGCATTTTAGTAGGCAGCCCTGGTTGAAGAAGGCATCTCGGGATGATCTCAGGAGGGGTGTTGCAGACCCAGGGAACAGAAGGGGCAAGCATTCTGATGCACGAATGAGCTTGGTCCGTTAGAGGAAAGCAGGCAGGCCAGCTGCTGTGTGGGTGGTGGGTTGGGGAATCCTGTGCAGAGTCCAGACTTCTCCCCACTGCTGTCTCCCAGCCCTTGGAGATGTCTCCTTGGGCCAGCTCTCAGGCCTCAGTCCTCCTGGCTGTGAAATGAGTGGTTTGGAGCAGATGTTCTCTGGGAAGCCAGTGTCACCCTCAGGCACTGTGGACAGCAGCCAATCTTCAAGCCCCACAAGGGGCTAGGTCCCCTCCCCTCGCTGACCTCAGCTGGCAGCTCTCCCCCTCCTATCGCCTTCTCCTCCTTCATACAATCTAACCCACAGCCAGACACTCCCTGCTCACCACATCTGTGTGTGCAACTGTTTGTCCGTTTCTTCCTGGGAAAACAATCAGCTCCATGTGGGGCCCCTGGGAAGAAATCGAACACTTGGGACTCTTGGCTGTCAAGAGTGCTTCTACATATTTGCAGGGTCTCGGGTCTGAAACGCAGCTGGGACTGGGCCGAATGAAAAGACATGGGAGTGATTGGAGTGGGTCTGGTTTTGAAAAGGGTTTGCTGTCATTGCTAAATTTAACATCCCCAGGCCCCCAGCCTTGGTCCCTTGCCCTTCCTACAGGCTGAAGGAGAGGTTGACATTGCAGAACGTGTCATAGAAGGGGCCCTGGGGATAAGGAATGACAAACCTGTGGCAGTCTTGTCACTTACTCTCCTCTCCTGCGTCAGTGGCAGACGTTGCTAATCAGTTACGGCGTTCTGTCTCTGGGCTCCCTGTGGAGCTCCGGCATCCATGCCACCAGTGTTCTGCCAACACTACCCATCGATTGGGGTTGGCATGGGAGAAGAAACAGATTTGTCCCTGATTTCTGGCCCAACCCCTTCATGGTACAGATGGCAATGGACAGGAAGGCCCTGCCACCTCACCAGGCTTGGGTCTACTTTTTCCTTTTATTTCCCCTTTTAGAATGTGCATTTATCATGACTAGGTGGTAAAGTGGTTAAGGCATTCAGCTATTAACCAGAAGGTCTGTGGTTCAAACCCACCAGCTGCTTTGCAGGACACAGAGGAGGAATTCTGCTTCTGTAAAGATTTACAGTCTTGGAAACCCTACAGGCAAGTTCTGTTCTGTCCTGTAGGGCTGCTGTCAGTCAGAATTGACTCAGTGGCAGTGGGTTTGGTTTCATTTATCTTCACTGTAAGTGACAGAAACAAGCAACTCACATAGGATTAAACAAAAGAGGAATTTTATTGGCTCATACAAACAAAATGATCAGTAGGTGGGATTGTCTTCAGGCACAGCTGGATCTAGGACCCCAAATGATGTTTTCAGGAGTTGGTCTTTCTCTGTCTCTGAGTTCCTCAAAAAGAGCTTCTATTCCCAATAATTTAAACACATATCCTTGAGGGCTCTCATTGGCCCAACTCAGGTCATGTGACCACTGTTGCCAGGACAGGAAGCTTTTGATTGGTTTGTCATGGGTCTCATGCTCACCTTTGGGGTGGGCTTAGCAGGCTCATACTGTAGGTGAAGCAGTTTTCCAGTTGGATGGGTGCTGGGGCCATAAAACAGCCAGTGTTCTGGACGAAGAGTTGAGGCAGAGGCTGTAGTGAAGCAGGGCCAGCCTGGGAAGAGATGTGGAGCTGGTTTCAGGGGCCACTGGGTCCCTCTCAGTTCCTCCCTGTTTTCTGCCTTTGCTCTCTGTCAGGCACCATTGTCCTCGGTGGCACCATAGCAGTGATCTCACCAGACACACACCCTGCCCCCATGGAGCTCACAGTCCAGTGGGGGAGGTGGACCATCCAAGAACCAGCAGGAAAATGTTCCCAGGGCTCAGAGGCCCACCATGTTTGCCCAGGTCTCTCTGGTGCCCTTTCCCAGTGGCCTCACCCTCTTATTTTCCTCCTGACTGCTTGCCTCTCTCTCTCTTTTTTTTTTTTTTTGCCATCACAGCCCACGCATCCACTGCCCAACCCTATCATAGTCCAAGTCACCAAAGAAATAATGAATTTTCTGGAATGACAATGATGGTGGTGGTAGCAACAGCATCAGTAACAGCAATAATCAGAATAACTAGTATGTGATGAATGCACCAGGCACTGTTTTAAGGACTTACTATTAATTCGCTTAATTATCCACATAATAACAATATGAGGAACGTGTGTATGTGTGTAGTGGTAGTAGTAATTACCCATACAATAACAATATGAGGGGTGTGTGTGTGTGTGTGTGTAGTTATTCCCCATAATTTATGGATGAGAACACAGAGGCACAGAGAGATTGTACACCTTCCCAAGGTCACAGAGCTCATCCTCAGGGGAGCTGGGCTTTGAACCTGAGTGTTCTGGCTGCACAACCCGGTACTTGCATTCGTGAGGTTGATGACCACGGGGAGGTCTGGTGTTCTAACTCAGAGCAGAGCTAATAGCAAGGTCTGTCGGCCCAGGGAAAGCCCAGGGAGAGCTTGCTGGCTGCAGAGGGACTTTGTCTAGACCTCCTTCCATACAGTCAAGACCTCCTACTGCTCCTCAGGTTCTTGTATCCAGAGCCTGGCCTTCCCTAGACAGCCCTGCAGGCCTTCTCTGCAGGTTTAGGATCCCAGGCACAGGCTGATCCCCACTGTCTGCAGGAAAGGCTCCCTCTCACTTCCCTGCAGGAAGCCTTACCACAGTCTGCAGCTGAGGCCCCCACTCCCCTCTCCCCCGTTTTGTTTTTTTACTATTAGTGGGCTGAGAGCCAGCCCCTGGGAGTGAGTTTTATTCCAGGCCCAAAATGTATCCCAGAGCCATAGTATTGGGGGTCTTACCAGACTCCATCTGACCTATAATTCTAGTCATCATTGTGTATTTGGATTTTGTTCCACATTTTTCTTCCTATTCTATTCTGGATCTCAATTATGATCCTTTCCTGAGTGGTTGGCATTGGTAGCCGGACACTATCTAGTTCTTCTGGTCTCGAGGGCCATCATGTCCTAGGGCTGATTGCTTCCAAATGCCCTTGGTTTTTGCACTCTTCTTCACTTCTGATGATAGAAGACCATTAGCTGCATCTTAGATGGCTGCTTGAAAGCTTTTAAGACCCCAGTCATTACTCACCAATGTAGGATGAGGAACAAGATTTTTCCATGTTTTATTGTGCCAATTGAGTCTGGTGTCCCCCAGTGCTATGGTCCTGAGTCAGTAGATCCCTTGGATCTCTCTCCCACGGTTCACCTCCCCCCCCCCGTTGTTTTATGTGTGGCCAGGTGACTCCCCACAGTCCAGAGTTCTCCTCACCATTGATGGCCCCCTAGATGTATTGGAGATAAGTGGAAATAGAGTGGGGGATTTTGGGGGCCACTCTTCTCCTCTTCTGCCCTTGTATGTGTGTATGTATTTGTATGTCAGCATCTCAAGTGGCTGTAATCAGTGAAAGATTGTGACTCAGGACTCTGTGTGTGTTTCCACGTGCACACTGATGGTGGTGGTGGTGTTTGGAGCATGTAGCTTGTGTGTTGTAATGCTTGAGATTGGTGATTCCTCAGAGTGTGCATCGGGGTCATGTTTGTTCTGTGGTTTGTATGTGGTGTGCATACTTTGGGTACTTGTGGCATTGTGTATGTTGGTGTTTTTCCTGTTGATTCATAGAGGTCATCATGTGCCAGGCATTGTTCTATGCATTTTGTATATAGATTAAGTGATATACTCCTCCATCCAGTAGCCCAGGAGGAAACTGAAGTATAGAGAAGTGAAACCACTTGTTCAAGGTCACCTACCACCTAGGAAGTGTGGAGCTGGGTCTCCACCCCCAGGTGGTACCTGTCTGAGTGTAATCTGTGGATTTATAGCTTGAGATTTCAGCCTAGTGTGTTCACCCCCCACCTCATCCCCATCTTGTGCTGTGACTTTGAGCTGGCCATCAGCATGGGGTTAGGAGAGTTTGAATCCTGGTTCTGCTGCTTCATTAGCTGTGAGACCCTGGGCAAATGACTACTCCTCTACCTTGCTTTCCCGTGTGTAAAATGGGCCTAATACAGTAATTACCATATAAGACAGGTGTGGGGAGTGAATGAGTTTACCCTGGTCCAAGTGAACAGCACATGGCGTGTACTCAGTGTAGATACATGCATGTGTTAGCCTCAGCCCTGGCTGTGGGTGCTTTGTTACTCAGAGTGTGTGCTTAGGTGGTGTGCGCAGGCCTCTGGACTGAGCTGGGGTGGAGGTGGTGGGACGTTTATTGATTCTGAAACCATCTCCCTCCCCTTTGGTTTCCCACTTCCTGCAGCTGCCCACCCTTCGGAAGGAGGACCATGGGCTTATTTAGAAGCTTAGCAGACCCACCTCTTCCTTCCTTACCTTTTGGGCTCTCCTGTCCCTCTTTACCACCCCCCATCCCCAGCCCAAGGTCAAGACCCTTCAGCTCTTCCTTCCCTAGTGGCCTCACCCAGGACATCCTTGTTTGGGGTTTGGTAGGGGAAGGGACATTCTGTGAGCCTTTCAGAATGGAGAATGCTCAGTGGAGAGCTTCTGGCTCAGATGACTGTCCTTCCACTCCTGGAAACTCTGACTGATGGTCTCAGGCCTGGTGACCCACAGGTGACTTCTGGGCTGGAAAGAGCCAGACTCTGGGCTTGGGGCACTTGGATGTTAACAGAGGTGTCTCCCTGCTCCAGGATTCCCAGTGCTGCTTGTTCTCACCAGAATTCCTCAGCCTTGACTGGACTCTTCTGGTTCACAGACACAGGGCATTGCACATAGTAGGTGTGCATAGTCAATTCATTGAGCGAGTACTTTTTGAGGGCCTGTTGCGTGCCACAGGCCCTGTGCTGGTGTCAGAGAACAGCACAGTGAACAAAGCAGTTGTTATCACTGTCTTCAGGGAGCTGAGCCAGTGGGAAAGGGCAGATGATAATCCAGATTGTTCCGGATTGTGAGAGCACCAGGAAGCAAAGAAAGGCGCAGGTGGGAGATAGAGAACACCTGGATGGCTGCCCCACTAGGAGAGCCCAGCCGTCATTTGAGGAGGGGCCATTAGAGTCGAGACCTGAAGAATGGCAGGAAGAGTGCTCTGCGCTGGGGGAATAGCAGGTATAAAGGCCCTGGGGGTAGGAACAGGTTTGGCAATTCAAGGAACAGCAAGAAGGCCAGTGAGATGAGGTCAGAGAAAGGCAGGGCCACATTATCTGGGCCTTGGAGGTCATGATAAATGCTGGCTTTCATTCCTGGCATCATGGAAAACCATTGGAGGCTTTTAAGTGGAGTTTAACAGAAGTTGACTTATACTTCAATGGGAACAGTGGGCATTTATTGAACATTTACTACGTGCCCAAAGCTTGTATGTTTTAGCTCATATAATTCTCATATCAACCGTAGGAGTTAGGGACTATTATTAACTCTACCTTCCAGGTGAGGAAACTGAGGCACAAAGAGGTCAAGGAACTTGTCCAAGGTCATGGCTAGGAAATGCAGAGCCAGGGTTCAAACCTGGGCCACGGAGTTCAAGTCTGACCACAGGCTGTGCTGCTTCTGGAAGGTTACTCAGGCTGCGGGGTGCAGGATGGGGGCCAGTGGGAGGGCAGTAGGAGGTGGGAGCCTGTCTGTCTGAAATCCGTCCTGCTGTAGTCTCTACAGGGTCCCGGGTAGTCCTCCCCTCCTAGGCCCACAGGTCCAGCTTTCAGTCCATCTCAGGGCATCTCCTTGCCTGCCGAGACCTGTCTCCCACAGACTCTGTCCTTGCTTTGCAGAAGGACAAGTTCTGTGTATATGAGGAATACTGCAGCAACCACGAGAAGGCCCTGCGGCTGCTGGTGGAACTGAACAAGATCCCCACCGTGCGCGCCTTCCTCTTGGTAAGTTCCCTTGTCACCCCTGCCCCGCCCCTATACAGTCTCTGTCGCAAGAACTCAGCTCTGTCGTTACACCACACAAGCAGCAATAGACAATATGCAAAGGAATGAACATGCTTATGTTCCAATAAAACTTTATTTACAAAAACAGGTGGAGGGCTGTGTGTGACCCTAGAGCTGATTTTGTCAAGTTCTGGTCTAAAGTAATAATCCTGGGGGAGAGTGGTAGCAATAATAGTAATAATTGTATTATTTAAGAGTATTTAATTGTAGGTGAAAGAAAGTCCAACTGAAAGTGGTTTGGACTTCCTGAATAGATATATTCTCATCTTTCATCATACCAGGAAAATTCTCTTCCAACTAATCTTTGACAATTTTCTCTGTGGTTTTATTTGACTCTTCCTGTTCTGGAATTCTAATGGCACGTAGGTTATTCCTTTTGATGGTATCCCACATGAACCTTAGGCTTTGTTCATTTTGTTTTGATCTTTTTTTCTGATTGATCCCCTTCCAAAGAAGTGTTCAGGTATTTGCCTTCAATCTCCCTAATTCTGTTTTCCATTGATTCAATTCTGCTCCTTTGCCCATTCGTCTTACCTATATCTGAAAATTTAGTATTAATCTTCTGGATTTCTGTGTGTAGATTTTGTATCATTTCTAATTTTTCATTTATTTTGTCATTTTGTTCTTGTATTGCCTTTTGTTCTGGTTACCTAGTGCTGCTCTGACGAGAATAT